AAACATGCCTAGGTAGATCAAAAGGATATTGGTTATGATAGCTACATTATTTGGCATGACCGCTTGGACCATCCCGAATCAAATATGATGCAAACAAATTATAAAAAAATTCATATTATCATGCATTGAAGAACCAGAAGATTCTTCAATTTATTGAATTTTCTTGTATTGCTTGTTCTCAAGGGAAATTATACAAGATAAAGTTAAGATTCAATCACCTGCATTTTGAAATGCATACATGGTGAAATATATGGGCCCATTCACCCATCATGTGGACCTTTCAAATATTTTGAATTTAATAGATGCATCTATAAAATGGCCACATGTTTCTCTATCTTGACATTTATGAGATTGTTTGCTCAAATATTAATATTAAGAGCACAATAAAGACAATTAATTTTTATAATGATGGTGAATTTATATTATATGTCTCCAATTGGTTGCTAGAACATTGCCTATGAGAACAAAGCTCCTTATTTTGGCATGGGGATATGCTATATTTTATGCTCCAATACTTGTATGCATCATGCCAATAAGTTATCATCTCCCCATTACATTGACTTATGGTCAGGAGCAAAATAATATTTTTGATGTGCGATTTATATTCTAATTACTCCACCACAACGCAAAAAGATGAATCCCAAATATAGTTGAAAATATATGTTGGATATGAATCTCCTTAAATAATATATTGAAATAATGATTAGAGATTTAGTGGATTATTGTTATCAGTTTTTCCAACATAAGGGGAGAGAATAAACAGTTGGAAAATACATAATGCATTATCATTATCTCATATAGATCCTCGCACCAAGTAAATATGAGAAAAATATATTATATATCGACTGCCAGATGGTTTAACTGACCAATAAGTCTAATATTCCAACTATAAATGCTCCAATTCATATTGTACATAGAAAAATGATCAGTTCCAAAGATAAAAATCCTCAAAAGGGGAGGAAAGGAGCAATTGATTATGATGGTCATAATATGGAGACAATTTTTAATCATGAAGACATAACTTTGGTTAAACCTCAAGGGAGGTTCAGGTACCTGAAAAATAATAAAAACAAAGAGATCTTGATTAGTTATGTCATTACAAGAAACTGATGGAACCATAAAGATATAGTTGTCGACAACGTTTTGCATAAAATGAAATGATGAAACAAGACGAGGATTTTGAAGCTAAATTTGTTGATGATGATTGGCCAAAATATAAAGACGCAATTCAAATTTAAAGTTTTTTGGACCTGTAGTCCAAACAAGAAGGTGTAAATGCCAGTGGGGTACAAATGTGCACAAATTATAATGAAGTTGTTGTAGCACAAGAATTTTGCAAAAACCTGGCAACTATTATATGAAAATATATTCTCTTGTGGTGGATGAGATCACCTTCAGATATTTTAATAATCTGGCAGTACATGAAAAGGTTGACATGCGTCTAATAGATGTTATTATAGCTTATTTATGTGGCTTATTCAATCGATAGTGAAATATATATGAAAATTCTAGAAGGATCTAAAATGCTTGAAGCATATAAAAATTCTCGGAAAATTCGTTGAATGAAGCTTCAAATATCATTAATGGATTAGGGCAATAAAGACATGTGTGGTATAATCACCTTAATAAAATATTTATCTACCAGTTGACTTGTAATTTAAAGATATTTTACATGCATAAAACAAATCCATTGAGTACCTCAATGGTTATATGAGCTCAATTGAAATAAATAAAATATTCATTTAAACCCATGAAAAATCATGAATTTTGTGTGTGTGACATATTTAGTTCAATCGAGACAATCTTATTATCGTATAATAAATAGTGAACATCCAAGGGGAATTATAAAATTATTAAAGTGGATGTTTGGCTTTTAAACCTCATATCTTCCCCCTTATTCTTACATTTTATCTTTATTTGTAAATTTGTTAGCATGAATTATTTCTTTTTGATATGAAGATACTAGAATAATGCAGGACCCACACAAAGCTGGATTCCAAACAGGATATTTATTCACAAGTGGAAGCACGACAATGGGATAATAGCAATTCATGAAGAAAGTCAAGAATGTGTTTGATCAAGGTCAATGACGCAACACATCCGAAAAGCATGCGGTTTTTAGTTAGAAAAAGAGGTTCCAACAATATTGCATGAAGATAATGATGCTTGCATAGCTCAATTAAAGGGAGGATACATCAAAGGAGAGAGAACAAAACATATTTGACCAAAATTCTTCTTCACTCATGATCTTCAACAAAATGGTGAAATTGATGTTCAACAAATCCGTTCAAGTGATAATTTGGCAGATTTATTTACCAAGGCGTTACCTACTTCAAGTTTTGAGAAGCTTGTTTACAAGATCGGGATGCGTAAACTCAGAGATATTAAATAATGTTATCATCAAGGGAGTGAAATATGTGCTGCACTCTTTTTTCCTTCACTATGATTTTGTCCCATTGGGTTTTTCTGATAAGGTTTTTAATGAGGCAGCTTCTAATACATATTTCTTCTCAATAGGATTATTGGACATCCAAGGGGGAGTGTTATAAATAATTTATTGGTTGTCCATATCCGTTATATAACCCTTATAACTGTTGGAGACGTTATGGCCGTTAGAGACGTTATGGCTATTGGAGACGTTATGACCGTTGGAAAATAATTTCAGTTATTGTAACTTTCATATTTCCCGAGCCTATATATATAAGGCATCATTGTAGTATGACAATACAACCAGAATACATTCTCTTATCTCTCTTATCTCTATTCTTCTTCTAATTAATTTTACAACAATTTTATCATTTTTTTTATAAACTAATTGTATCATTTTAAGTGAGAGAAAGAAACCAAATTAGTGTTTTTTATTTAAAATTTAAATTTTAAAAAATTTACTCTTTTTCTCTCGCATGATTTCTATTGTTTGTGTCTTTCTTTCATTTAAAATGATACAAATATATCCTTCAAAAAAAACATCAAACCCATATATATATATAGGGAAAAGTATTTGTCATTTTAAATGACATAAAGTTATGTCATTTGAAGAGAGAGATAGACACAAGAAATTTTTTTATTTAAAATTTAAATTAAAAAAAAAATCACCCACTTTCTCTCCCATGATTTTCATTCCTTGTGTCTATCTTTCTCTTAAAATGACATAACTTATATTATTTAAAATGACAAACACCAAACTCATATATATATGCCATTTTTTGGGTTGCTTTCCGCCTGCATTTTGTTTTTCTTTTGGGAAAAGTTCACTAATGCCCCTGTGGTTTGCTTCAGAATCACCTATGCCCCTGTGGTTTTTTTTTTATCACATATGCCCCTGTGCTTTGTAAAAATTAAAAAATCATAGGGGCATATGTGATAAAAAACACCTTTTGCAAACCACAGGGGCATATGTGATAGAAAAAAATCACAGGGACATAGGTGATTCTGAAGCAAACCACAAGGGCATTGGTGAACTTTTCCCTTTTCTTTTTTCTTTTTTTAATAATTCCAACATTGTCCTTAGATAATTATGATTACATTTTTATTACATTTTTTTGATAAATATTTTTAGTACATTTTAATTATCTATTAAAATTTCTTTTTAAGTTCTATTTATTTTACTTACTTAAAATAATATTAACTGGTTTTTTTAAAAAAAATCAAGACTTCTCACACTTGTAATTTTAATATATACTGATGATTATTTTTATATTTAAAATAAAACGTTAATAACTTTATTTATTGGGAGCAAGGTATATTTTATCATTACTTTATTTAAAGAAACCAGCAATTCTATTCATATAGATTAAGAACTTATTTTAAAGGACAGATAATTTTCTCTCTATTTTAAAATATTTTTTTATTTTCACGTTTATCATCGAATGTATTAACATTTTTAGATAGTGAATGTGAAAAAAAAAAAAAAATTACCAAAAATTTTGGCGTCTGATACTCTTTTGTTTTGGAAAGAATTGTTAATAATTTGTTAAAAATTGATAATAAGAGGAGCGAAATATTAATAATGAAAAAAATGAAAAACGCTAGATTAATTTAAGGGGGTGTTTGGTTCAAGTTTTTGGAGAGGATTACCGGTAATCCTTCTTTGGTAAATGTAATTACCACGTTTGGTAGAAGGAATAAATTACGATTCCTGGATATCCAAGGATTACCGGTAATTTGATTTATAAAGAAAAGTCACTATTCAGATTACCAAAAATAATATGGTAATTCGGAATACCAATCAGAATACCAAGTAAAGGGAAAACACAACAATAAATTTTGAGACAAAAATACCCCAATACACATAAAAATCTAGACCCAACCTATCAATTACAAAAGTAAAAATAGTTTGGGGTTATATTTTTAAAATAACCTCATATTCCAAGTCATATTTCGTTCTAAACCAAATATGGAATCAGTAATTTTTACCCAGTATTCCCGGTAATATTTTGGCGAACCAAACACATCTTTCGTAAGATTCCAAGTAAACTCAATTTCTACTGAATTCTCATTAATCATGATTCCCGGTCACCAAAAAATTTCTCCTGTACCAAACACACCCTAAAAGAGTATTGAACAATGTATAACTATACATGTGAAAAAAACAGACAAAAAATATCCATGAAATTGTGTACTAATTTCAATTTTAAATAAACCTCAATTCAAATGGAGAAGAAATGGCGGGGTTGTGGATGTTCCCACTAACCGTCAAAACCGTCAACATGTGAGAGTGGGAGCAGGAATCCTCTGCGTTCCGTTCACGTAGAACAAGAGACCACGCCAGTAAAATACTGCCACGTCACAACATCACAAAACAAAATGTTCTGACTAATCAGAACAGTGATTACACGTGTGCAAGTGTACCTCGTACCCACGAATCTAACCATATAGGAGCATAAACACAACCAACCATTTCAAAAATTGTGTGGCACCTTAAAAAAATCAGAGCTTTATTTGGGAGAAAAGAAAAGAAAATCAATAAGCATTGCAACCAAAAAAAAAAAATTCATGAAATGGAAAGAGAGTTTGATAGAACAACATACATAAAGAAAGGGCCATGGAGTTGTGAGGAAGATGAGGTTCTTTTAAAGCATGTAAACAAGTATGGTCCAAAAGATTGGAGCTCCATTCGATCCAAAGGCTTGTTGCCTCGAACTGGAAAATCTTGTCGCCTTAGATGGGTTAACAAGCTTAGACCCAACTTGAAATCGTAAGTTATAATTCTTTTTTTTTTTCCAATTGGTTCGTCGATTATCCGATTAATCCGGTTCAAACAGAAGTACAGTGGAATGCTCTCATGTCACCTTTTTTAGTCACATTTAAACATGAACATTTCATGTTGCTACCCTTTTCTTTCTTTCTTTTTTTTTTTTTTTTTTGGTATTTGTTGTGTTGTTTTCTTTTGTGGGTTGTAAGAACATGTGGGGATAATAAGAATAGTTGCTACTGTTATTGTTTGTGTGATGTGAATGCCCTTTGGTTACTTTATGACAATGTACTTTAGTACTATTGATGATGATCCTGAATTGTTTCCTTTTATATTGAACTTTTTTGGAATGTGGGATTGCAGTGGCTGCAAGTTTTCAGCAGAGGAGGAAAGGGTTGTGATAGAATTGCAGGCACAATTTGGGAACAAATGGGCTAAAATTGCTACATATTTGCAAGGGAGAACCGACAATGATGTGAAAAATTTCTGGAGCAGTAGGAGGAAAAGGTTGGAGAGAATGTTGCAAAGGCCATCACAGCAGAAAAACAAAGGAAAAGCTCCTCTTAATCAAGTACAAGTTGAAGAGGTGAGGTAGATGAGAATCCATTGCTTCAAGATTTTTATGTGTGTGTGTGTGTGCAGACCTATTAGTAGTAACAATGCAACACGAATATAATTTTTATTTTACATTTTTTGCAAATCCACCTTGTTAGATCCTAAGATAGACTTCACTACTAGAGTGGCACTTACAATCCGTTTGGTACACGGATTCTTTCCGAATTCCCGAGAAACTGAAAGTTTTAAAATTTTAAATTTTCAGATATTATCGTAAATTGAATGTAAAAATCATATTTTTGAAAATCGAGATTCTCGGACAAATAAAAATTTCTCCTATACCAAACGCCATGTCCGGAATTCTTACTAGGAGACTAGGGAGGGAAAAAGGGGAAGTAGAATGAGAAAGGAATGTTCCATAAAAAAGTTACAAGCAAATGTCTCAATTAAGTTCCCCGGATAATACTTAATAATTTTATTGTTGTGGGTTTTTAATACCCTTTATAAAATACTTGATTTAGTGCATAAAAGATCATAAAATCATGAACTTAATGGTCAAAATATCTATTTCAGGTTCCTCCGTGTAGTTCTAATCAGCTGGAAGAAAGCCTTACTTACTCTACTTCCTATATGGGAAACACTGAGGTGTTTGAGATGGTCAACCTACCAGATTTGACAAAGTCAAACTACCAAAGTTTGGAGAGTGACCTGAATGCAGTTAAGGTTGAGGCCACCCCACTTCATATGGTAACACCTTTTGAGTCTTCATCAGGGTACAACTTTCCTCTACTCCCTGAACCACAAATGGACTTTCCACTATTCCCAGAGTGCCACGACCTCGTTCCGGAGCACTATGACACTAACTTGATTGGTATGTTCGAGCAGAAAAAATGTTCAGAATGTTTATACGGCCAGAAGCTTGGGACTAGGTTGCCAACTCTTGGATTGGAAGGAAATTCTCAAAGTACAAGTTCAAATGGCTTCTTTAAGGACTTCCCAACTGATATTTTTGAATACTTTGAGCATATTCCATCCTCATCAGAACAATGAAATATTTATTTTTAGTTAGACTGTTATACTTAGTGATCATTTAGCTCCTATTTTACATGTACCATCCTTTCTGAGAACAATCAAATCTAAATTGTTGTAACTTGCTTATGCAATATGTTAATGCATTAACTTGTATCAGGTTCCTTGAATTTACCAAGGAAAAACCTTAAGCTGCACAATATTTGACAAGTTGTGGAACTTATTTAATACCCGCACATTTGAGAGTATTACCCATATTTAACTATTTTTTTTGTTACATTATGAAACAAAGCCAAGGAAAACTGTTAATGTTCCTCAATGGCTATGTCACTCAGAACATGTGAATCTTTTCGTTTTATTTCAAGATTAATCCTTTCATTCCCTTTTGACTAACTTGAACAAAAGAGCCTTTCATGAACCTCAAGTTAGCACCCCAAAAAATTAGTATAATGAAAACTTAAGACTGCATTATAAGTACACCTTGAATTTCCAAGGTCCTACGATAAGATTACCACTCCCAAGTTTTTTTTAAAAAATCCATGGCATATACTTGCGTAGCTCTTCACATCAAAACTTAGTTTTGTCCACCCCTTTTCTCCGCATTCTTGCAATCAGGGACAATAGTAGGTGCACCAAATTGACCCTTACATATGTAAAAATGGCTCTGTATACATAAACTATAAACAAAGATCAATATATCATCAATCCAAGCAAATGACCACAATAATAAATTACATCAGTAATGAGAATTTCTGCAAGCAACAGGTAATAGCTGTACAATACTTTTCGAACCCCCACCCCCAAGGTAAAACAGCCACCCCTCTAAATGCAAAACGACTTCAAAAATCAGATACCCTTATCACTAAAACTACAGAGACCAGTATCCAACATCTTTCCCCAGCGCAATGATTGTCCATAACTTCAAAAGTAGCTTCTATATAATGTTCTTCATATGATCGATTGGAAAAAATAATTCCAAGTCTAAAATATCCAAGCCAACGAATCAATACAGGATGAGGAGTAAAGCAATTCATTTCCAGACAGTCTCATTTGCATCAGTGAAAATTGCATTATGATGTTCTATGAGCAACTGAACAACCTCAATTGCACCAAAGTCAACTGGCGTGCCATCATCCAAAGGAATAAGAGAGGATGCATCTAAGGCTTCACCATCATCTGCAGCACAAGAAAAAAGAAAAGAAATGAAATGACTATCTCCAATCAGCACTAATTCTATGTCTTCTCTGCATGTAATTTCTGCAGACCAACTTTAGTTCAATACAAGTAAAGCCAATCAACTGTTAAACTAACTTTAGCACCCTTCCACATTTTTTTGCAAGTGACATGTAATTAGAATGCAATGTTGATTGAAGATCCACAAGTTAGAAGTACAACTTTCAAGCAAATTTTAAAATGTTTAACTGTACCGCTTAGAAAGAGATTCGAAGGCTCCAAGACTCACCCTTTAATCAAAGAATGCCATTGTGTTATGTCAAAAAACAAGTTTTCGGAAAGGCCATATAGATCAATTACTTTTTTAATTTTTTCTCTCAGGGTCTTCCTCGGTCTTCCTCCACCCATTTATTCAGTTATCCTCTGATGGGCCAGGACAAGTGGGTCCAGGTCCAGCTATTAGGAATCAGTTAGAGGAGAGAGAGAGAGGCAGTTATATTCGGGGCTTTGGGGATGAGGTTCCTTATGCATGAATTCAGAATCTTGGAGTGAGAATTGGGATCTCTTTGGGGCCTAGGGTTGCTGGTCTTGGAGAGTGAGGGTTTGGGTATTATTCTTGCGTGTTTAGCTTGTTAATTTTTGCACAATTTCTCTATTTTGGTGTTGTTGTTGCTGATATCACAAGCTTCTTCCTGTGGCGTCAGTGTTTGTAATGAGCTAGTCTCCAATTTCTCATTTATTTTCAATATAAAATACTGGTACCATCATCCTCCATCGATCAACTCTTTTCTTTTTAGGACCTCTGTTGGTCTTATCCTCACGTGGCCAACATAGAACTCATGGTTAGTGAAGATTATTGCACATAGAACATTTTGTTCTCAATGAGAAGCAGGATTTCTCTACTCACACATTTTGACTAAGAGAATCCCCATTGCTAGGGACTAGAGTTAACTTGGACAGTGATGGTTTCATGCAATTTCCCACATGGTCATCATCTTTTTGGCTATAGCCAATAATAAATACTATTTTCAGTAAAAATGGTTATCTTAAAAAAAATTTACATGTTTTGGCATCATTTTGCTTACCAGCAAGCATGTCCCATGCATTGTATTCACCGGATGGCGGATCCAAGCTCTTTTTGGAAGGACTTTTCGACATCTGACTCCAATATTGACGATAAAATTCAGGTTTTTGTCCCTTTTGCCACATAATAACAGGTGCCATTTCCATTGCAAGGCTCCGAGCATCCATCTAAAGAAAGTCAACAATCTTAAGCATGCTAACCAAATCAAATTTGTATTTAGTATCTAACAAGTAACAACTGTGTGACTGTTCTTAAGGTCAACCAACTGATCGGAAAGCAAACACACTAAACCATGATGATGATCATAATGCACGGAGTGAGGAAGGTTGCTAATTGCATATAACAAAGCAAGTAAGTTATGCATCTTGGAAAATAGTGACTTTCCTTTGTACTTTTAGATGAAGAGAAGAAAATAGTGGTATTACCAGGAAAAAAATAAAAATAAAAATATTAGAAGAGGAGAAAAACACAAGAAACAGACCACAGAAAATCCTTCTAGAAGTAAACCAGAAGTACAAAATCAAAAAGCAAAAGGTACTAAGGAACATAAACTTGTTACATTAGAGCTCTCCAATCCTTCTCCAAATCAGACAACAAAACTCCATACAAGACCATTAGCAGAAAGCCCAAAATAAGCTAGTCTTCAATCCTATCCCAGAGAATACATAAACATCAATTGAAAAACTGGCATTTTGCTCTAGCCATATTACATATACACCATATAGCAGCTGATTAAGCACAATCCCACAAAGCATTGCCTGCTTCCTCTCCCTATAACAACAAAAGAGCCAAAACTAGGCATGCTAGAGACCTCTGGTCAAAGTTCAATGTTAGTTGTTACATGGTCAGTTTGGTCAAAGTGGTAGGAACAAGAAAATCACTATTTAACCAAAGACAACGAAAAGAGAAATTTATATTGATTGGTAAATGGGTTACAACAATTCTCAACTATACAAGAGAATTTACAACTGAAGAATGAAACAAGTAATGATTTACAACTGAAATGGAAAGCAGAATACAGGGAACAGAATTCTAATACAGATTGTTTAGAGTAGATATGAGAGGCCCTAATCTCTCCCAGGTTCCAGTCCAGATTCCAGAAATGCCCTCTTTCTCAACTACCCCCTTATATAGACTGTTCTTCCCTTTACTTTCTTTAACTACCCTCGCTTAGCCTCTTCTGGACTATTCCCTTGTAACTGTTTGGCTGACTCAGCAAATGAGTAAATAAGCTCATCACAGCAACTGAACTCCCCTCTTTATATTTTTTCCTTGCATAAGTTTTCATAGGCTTTTTCCTATCACAAAGCAAAGACTAGACCTTCTCTTTTAGCATCATTGTGTATTTCTAGGAGTGGCTTTTAGGCAATTCCTTTGCCAGACATTCAATGCCATACAGGGCTCCAGAATTTTGATAATCTTTCTTTTTCATTTTCTATCTTCTTTCTTTTCTTGTTCTATTATGAGGATAGTTTATCCTAATGTCTACTCTTGCTCTATTATGAATAATGAAAGTCGTTTTTCCAATTTATAAATATATTGGACAACAGTACCCTCCATTTACCGTGTGAACAGTATATTGGTCAAACCAACGAAACTCAAGAAGACCAGGAATAAGAATATGAAAGTGAGCTGGTTGCCAAACACCAATTGGAGAAAACCTCACGAGAGAGTTAGAGACTGCTAATGAAAAAATAAAACAGGTCTTTAAAACAGTTTAAAAACCACAACTGTCAAAAGCAATAACTTATATTTAAATACAATGTCTAATATATAGAGACAAATCAGATTTCACAAAAGAAAACAACTTCAAATGACAAAACAACAAAAGAAATGCATGGATTCAATTTCTTTTTCGCATGTGTTTTAAACGCTACTTGCATAGCAAAGCAAGTATATTATGTGTGACATTTTATAGGAGAGAAAATGTATGTCCGATAATCAAAGGGAAATGGGCCACAAGACTCCATCATACATAGTTTATATAGCAATAAACAAATGCAAGTACACACTGAAACTCAATCTGCCACCCATCCCTGCTTCCGCCAAACAAACACACACATGCTCCCGTAGAGAAGCCTCTTACCTTATTGAGAAGTGACTTCTGGCTAACACGGAGCAGAAGTGCTGTTATAAACTCCAGAGTCATGTAGTTTACACTGGAAAGCCTCTTGAGTATGTTTTTCATGGAATATATACTAGATCGAGCACCTTTGATATCATTATAAAGCTCCAACGTGGTAAGCGGCTCAGGAAGGCTAGCAAGATAATATTTTACAAGAGCTGCTACGTCAATTGGATTTGTGCCTTCTGGCACTGAAGCAGTTGAATCTGCAACATGCAATTATAGTAGCAAGTATAACATAATCCAAGTATAATAACTATAACCTACCCATTACTGAAAGAATGATTGAATTACCTTGGTTGTATAGGGAAACCAAATGCTGAATAACCTTTTTATCCCCTTCAGATTTAAAGAGATATGGCAAGTTCAATCCTACATAAAATAACAATAATCAAATTAATAAGGATTAAAATAAAACAAAAAAAAATAGACTCATATGCACGGATGTAGAACCTTACTCTAGAAACAGCTACCTGAAACTATAAGATAATCTGCACAATTGACCAATATGTGAGGAATAAGCTTGCTGCAATCTTGCCTCTGTACAGTAACCTCAATAGGAACTCCAAATACTGGGGTCAAGATAATGAACAATTAACTACTATAATTCAGGCTGGCACAATTTTTTTAACAAAGTAAAAATCTACATAAACAAAGCATGCTATACTGCAATATAACTTAATAGTTCACAACTAATCAAAATTATTATTGTATAAGTTTCAAAATGGAATTCATCCCATGATGCCTTGTGGGAACAATGGAACTAGTTCTACATAGTCAGCGAAAGAATCTAATGCATGAAAAGAACCCCTTGCTTGCTCAGTTATGTGGTTTGAGAAACATACCATCAGTGCTTGCAACTCCCTGCAACAGAAAATTAAAGTAAGAATACTTGGGAGTGATGTATACCAGTAGACATAAGTCACAGTTAGCCTAATGCCATTTACCTTCTGCCGTCTTTCAATGTCAGTCAAGATAGTCTTACTTTTCTGTGCTGTTATTTTTGCAACCTGAAATAAGTGACCATGATGCCAAATCAAAGAGAGAAGAAAGTAAAGAATCTGAGCATCAAATTAGTGCAGGAAAAATACACCAAGAGTGATAACATGGTGCATGACTAGCAGATAAAGTTATAAAAAGAAGGAAAACATAGAAGATTATAAGATGAGACAAAGAGAAAATTTAAAAAACATCCATTTGATTAATACCAAGTCCAGAATAACAGCTTCATACAAATCCTATCTACAATTAAACCAAAAGTTATCATTATCCAACAGACAGAATTATGTAATCCAAAATCACTTTGGATTAGGCATTCCCTTAACCCAAAGGAAAGGATAACAAGTAATAATGAAATAAAATCCCCATACACTAATATACTTTCACTAATATTTACAAGAGTAAAGTATCTTTTGGGTCCTCAACAAATATCACGGCGCCCAATTTAATCCCTTAGAAATAAAAAATCAATTTGTGGTTCCTCTGAAATTCAAAATAGACCCATGTTAGTCCTTTTGAGGGACTAACGTGGGTCTTCTTTGAATTTCAGATGGACCACAATTTCGACTAACTGGGTTTATTTTGAATTTCAGAGGGGCCACAAGTCGACTTTTTTTTCTAAGAGATTAAAATGGGCCCTGTAATTTTTGTTGAGAATCCAAAAAGTACTTTACTCTATTTACAAAAATGCCACATTATTTTCATTTTGTATCCTGTTCTCACAATGTTGTCAACAAAATGGTGAAAACAACTAAACCTAGTCATTATGCATTTATGCCTTAAAAATTTCTCCATCACAATCCCAGATAATTTACTCAAGTAAATTACCTCTTCAACCTTGGATTTTCCCACAACCACCTTCTCTTTTGTCCCTGTCAACCCTCTCCTTAGTAATGCCCCGGTAGTAGCAGCAGCTGATACTAATCGATCCTGTACAGCATGTCTTGTGGATGGCTGCTGAAGAAGTGCCCACCGACTCTTGACCATCGTTCCAACTCGTCCCGCCACTTCAGCAACATTACTCTTTGTATCCCTAGTGACCTCGCCAACAAATGTTCCCGCTGATTCCCTAGCTTCTTTAAGCTTGACCCCTACATTAAACTTATATTTGAACAAACAGAAAAACAGAAACCAGAGAGTAAACAAGAAAAATAAAAGTTCTCAGATTTCGTGAAGGATACCCGAGGAAGAAAAAAAATCAGTAGCCTTATCTTGCCACTGAGGTGAGATGACAGAAGGCATTGAACCAGAAGCTAATAACAAAATCAAAATCAATGGAAAAATCAATTCACACTTGATCCTGCATAGAAGTGAACCCATAAAAGACAAGTCAACAATAATTGACAAAAATACCAGTCACAAATACAATCATAAGTTCTTAAGAAACAGAATCGACATAAACTTTATTTAAAAAAATGGTAAAATTAGTTATTTATTTCACCATACACATGACGAAAGCTTTTGATGCTTGTCATCAGTGAAGATCATCAATTTCTTCAAAATCATCAATCAATCCATAAGAATTTCTTTTACAGTTCTACATACAACATAGTCAACTCTACGCATTCAATCAGCAATAGAACAAGCAAAAAACAATCACACCCACAATAGTTTCTGCGGTACACAGAGCAAAACCCATAAAATCAACACTTGTTACTCAACTATACCAAACGATTCCATCACCCCTCTACAGGTAGTACTATTAAAAATACCATTTTTTCTTTACCCAAAAATAAAATAAAATCAGGATAATCAAGGAAAAGGAAAAGGAACTAACACAAACCCGTTTCTGGGTTGCAATAAAAGCATAGAAAAAGAGTAGAAGAGACCAATAAATAAAGGAATTTAAAAAAAAAAAACCCTATAAGTTGTCGAAGCAGTAAGAGAATCAAATCAAGAATACCTTGCTTCTGTAAAAGCTGAGCACGTTGCAGAGAGAGAGAGAGAGGTTAACTGCGTTAGATATTCAATTTTGATGTACTCAGAAAAAAAAAGAAAAAAAAATTAAAATAATAAAGACGGCACCACATAGATATGAGATCAGAATGAGACTGCTCTGACCAATACGTTTGTTCAACCAAATAACACCAATTATAACACTAATTCTTTTGTCATTCTCAGTTTCTCTCACTTCCTTTGTTTTCTGTTTTTTTAAAGGTGTTTGTTATTTTAAATCGCATAATTTTGTTATTTTTAATAAAATTATATCAATTTAGTGTGTTTTTATATTTTCTTTTCTTCACTTTTTTTTCCTAACTTTATATAAAAGAAAAAATATCAAAAATACATCAAAATGATATAATTTCATTAAAAATGATACAAAGTTGTGTTGTTTTAAATAAAAAATATTTAACTTTTTTTTCCCTATATTTCCATATTTTATTTAGAAATATGCAGAAATACAATTAATATATTCCGAAGTGGTTCATTGCATTATTTCTTTGAAGTGATTAACTCAGTTGGAAAATTGGTTAAATCAGAGGTGATCAATTGTAAATTATCAAATATAATTATTTGAAATGTAAAATTAGTTCCTCTTACTTCAATACAATGTCATTTTCATATTTTAGAAAAGAAATTATAATCAAAATTTTATAGATTTTATAACAGAAGAAGGATTAAACCCTTCCTTTAACTTATTTGAGATTGTTTGAAATTGAAAATTGTATTAATGGAATGGATCAGTACAACAATTAAAATAAATAATAAATAATAAAAAATTTAAAAATGACAAGCTTATGTTAAAAGCGACTTTCGAAAGAAACAAATGAACATGAAAATATCACGGGATATGGGACTAGTGTCAGGAACTCTCTATGAGATCAAATTTACATTTATAATTTGAGGTTACGTTTGCCACTTTTTTATTTACAACTTTTACAATTTTAATTATGGTTTCTCGGAAGAATATTATTGGAAAGTGTTCTCAGAACATAATTGAAATTGTAAGAGTTCTAAACAAAAAAAAGTTATGAACGTAATCTTTTCTATAACTTCACGTGTGAAAAACGTTGAATAGTAGTACAATGCGTATTTCACTTCAGATCAGCCAAGAAAATGTGAGATTTTCCGTTAGACCAAGCTAAGCTGGAATGTATATATATATATATATATATATATATATATATATATATAGGCCAGCACCTTATTATTGATATTTTATTTGAGGAGTCCGAGATGTGTTCCCACTTTCCCACACAACTTCTATACGCTTTTTCTCTTTTGTAGACCACTCTATTGAGGAATTTTTCAAGAAAAATTGGGTGTTGGTGGTAAAGGTCGGTTTTTAGTGTTTGTAGGGGCAAGCATGGCTTTGTGCTGTTCTCGAAATTCTATGCAATCTAATCTAGCGTGGATGATTCCGCGACGAAGGGGTCATTTGTATTGACTTTTGAAGAAAGTTATTTTTATTACTTTTTTATTTTAAAAGTATTTTTTATAAAAGTTACAGCTATCTAGATTTTAAAAAAAATATTTGACTTCTGACTTTTGCTTTTTGTAAAAGCTAAAAATTTTAACTTCCGAAAAAAGTAGATTTTTAACTTTTTTAATGACTGTTGCTTTTTTTAAAAGCAGGCATCCAAACAAACTTTGTTTGAAAAGTGCTTTTTCAAAAAAAAAAAACAGCTTTTGAAGAAAAAAAACCCATCCAAAGAGACTCTTATCGTGACTTCAACGAAGGGGATAATTAGGAAAAGTTTCAATTAATTTCACCATTCGCTACGTTGGGTTAGGGCCTAGGGGCATAGGTTAGCTCAAACCAATAGGATAGAAATTTCAAAATGGGTCAAAAAATTTAATATCAAGACAATTTGTTTATTTTGCGAATTATAATGATATAATATAAATAATCTATTTATTTTAAAATATTATTTATTATGCGGATTGATATAATAAGACATGAACAAATAATTTATCAATCTCAAAGGGTGTTACTTACAATATGAGTTGACACAACACAAAAAACTTATAAGAAAATTAATGTGGGTTAGTTTCATATTTGTGAGTTGACATTCGACATGACAAATTCTTTTGTGTAAGACGAATTTCTCATATCGTTTTCGTGTCACGTTAACATATTGTGTTGAAAATTGTCACCTCATTGCTTTACGAAACGAAACTCTATTCTTTAATTGTCCGGCTATAAATTCTGCAATAATATTAGGGTGTCTATAAGCGTTTGCAATTTTTGTAATAACAATATTTATTTTTCGGTTCACACAATTTACTTTTTCTTGTACATTCATTTGTAATTGGGTGCACTAGGATCATAACAATCCCATTTGTTGATTATGGTAGATTACAATAGTTAATTATAAATTAATTATGATCATTATATATTGATTAATGATGTGATTGATGTGACATATTGTGATTGATGTGACATATTATTCTAGGGAGAATCCTAGTTAGTGTTGGAAATCGACAATCACACAAAATCCATAAAAGAGAAAAGAGTAGAGAGATTGACACGATGATTTATCTTGGTTCACCCAATATAGGCAACGTCCAGCTTGTCTGTACTATATTCACCTCACCGGCACTCGTTACAAGTCACTCGATTTACAAGGAAAATATAAATAGGATTAGAAAATCCTAACATCAGCTATTAATGGGCCCAAGCCCAAACTGCTAAGAAAATTACAATAAATCAGAGGCCCAACACAGTACCTAGTCTCTACGGGCGGGGCGGCTCCCCCGGACAACAAGGGCCCTCATTAGCATGCGAAGTATGAGCCATACCCAACATTCTCCCACTTGCTGAATGGTTCACATGTTTCTTCAATCCCAATACAAATGTACACCATTCAAACTCTTCAATCTTCTCTCCTATGAAGTGATACTGTATGCCGATATGCTTGGTCCTCGCATGGAAACCTGGGTTCTTAGCCAAGAAAATGGCGCTCTAACTGTCACACCCAACGATTATCTCTCCTTGTGCAAAGCCAAGCTCTTTGCACAACCTCCGTAACCAAATAACTTCCTTAACAACATGTGTCAAGGTCATGTACTCAGCCTAGATAAAGCAACAGTGCTCCGCCTCTTACTCATCCAACTGATAGCTCCGCCAAATGAAGAAACAACATATTTTGTAAAATATTTTAAGATATATATATGTATATCTAATCTAAAAAATTATTGATTGAAAGATAAAAAATTAATTTTTCGAATAATATGTATAATTAATACATCTATCATTCTGTAAAAAATAAAATAAAAAAATTTAATCACTATAAAAATAAATGACCATTCAATAACCAGTGACTATCCAACTCCTGTATGGTAAAAAAATGTTTGTCATTAAGTATTTCACAGACTATTTTAATATTTCTCATTACTTTTTGCATGAAAACTTGTTAAGCCTATTAATAATATTTATTATTATATCTAATTTATAGTAAAAATTTAAGGTGCTACAATTAAAATTTAATAATGCTAGGTAAAAAGGAAATAAATTTCGAATGTACTACTTATTAAATGTTACGTTATAATATATATATATGTGTGTGTGTGTGTGGGTGTGCGTGTGTGCGCGCGTGTGTATGTGTGGTCTCGGGCCGGGCCGCCCTGCACCCTAACACATTTTTTTAATAAAATAAACATTTCACCTTTCATCTTTTATAATTAAATTCCAAAATTCGATTTCAATTTTGTAAATATTAATTTGTGAAATTTCAAATACTAATGCCATAAATCCATGGAAAAAAATAATTATTTACTCTTATTAATTACTAATTAATGAACACTTGACTATTTAATGTTTTGCAGCATATCATTATTTTAATGCAATTTATGATTAGTTGTTTCTAATACATTGAGTAGTTGACTTTTCATATTTTTTACCATATTATTATTGGTAGAGTTGAAGTATTATTGAGATTAAATACGATACATTAAATATATGCTTATATATATATTAATTTGTGGATAAATATGGATAGATAGTAATTTAGACGCAACTATAAGAATCTCTTTTTGTGGATAAATATAAGAACCTATTGCATGCTGGTATAAAATGCTGATAGTTAGAGGTGGTAAATTAGACTAAGCCCGGAAGGCCGTCTCATCCCGCTAGCCAACACATTTTTATAATAAAATTAAAATTTCACCCTTCATCTTTTATAATTAAATTCTTAAATCTGATTTCAATTTTGTATATACTAATTTGTTAAATTTCAAATACTAAGGCCAAAAATCTTTGAATAAAAAATTTATTTATTCTTATTAATTACTCAATTAAAAAGAATGATCATTCAATATTTTGCAATATATTAGTATTTTAATGCTATTTATGAATAGTTATTTTCAGTGTTATTAAAACCAGACCGGTCCGGCCGGTTGGCCCGTAAATCAGCCCATCAACCGGTCCGATTTCAGTATTAGACTGTTTAAGAATTCGACCCGGTATTGACCTAATAACCCGGTGAAAAACTGCGGTTCGACCGGCATAAACCCAAGGCTATCATCACTTGTTGAATAATATGCATCATTTAATATATTTATTATACAACTATTAAGTTAACATAATTATTTCAAAAATTGCATCGAATGGGGATTGAACCCCTTGCTTTGAGAATATACAACATTGTAAATACCACTAGACTACACAAGTTATTGTTTGAATTGTACCATTTAAAAGATTTATTATATAATTAAGTATAGAATATGAATTTATATATATATATATATATATATATATATATATATATATATATATCCGGTTCATGCGGTACAACCAGTGACCCACTGGTTGAACCATTGACCCAGTGACCCGGTACCTCGGCCGGGTCAATGACCGGTCCGGTTCTAATAACATTGGTTATTTTCAACAAAGTGAGTAGTTGGCTTTTCATATTCTTTACCAAATTATTATTGATAGGGTTGAAGTATTCTTGCGATTAATTACAATGCATTAAATATATGCTTATATATATATATATGTTATTTTTGTGAATAATTATTAATACTTATGCAATTAAGCTAATGAATGGTATTTTAATATTAACTCATTCAACTTCAACTATGAAGTGTTTTATAAAATACTAGTGAATTACCCGTGCCGATGTACGGGGAAAAAAATTGGTTTGTTTGGCATGGTGGGTCGGCCCTCCGGGCCGAACTCATTTTGTCAGTATTTCAAAGGTCCCAAACAGTCATTTTTTTAAATAACAAAACAGTCATTCATTGTTACATTAAAAATATGAAAGAAAATAGGATAATAAAGGTCATATATTTGAAGATAGATAAGGAAAAGAGACGCGAATAAACAGTCATTTTTTTTGTCTTTGCTTGTACCATACAACGAAGTTATATCTTTGAAGAAAGAACCCAATATACTATAATAGTCTTTGAAATACTTCCTTGTAAACTATATTAAGGGTACTATTCGTAACGCAGCCATTTTCATCAAGTATCAATATCTTCAATCCATGCTTACTCTTTACTCTATTTAGTGCCATATATAATTGCCCATGAGTGAAGACAGGCTTAGGGAGATAAATTGCAACATGTGAAAGTGGTTGTCCTTGACTCTTGTTGATAGTCATGGCAAACGATACAATCAGGGGGAATTGTCTTCTTTGGAAATTTACAGGAAATGTATGACTCGATGGGCTCATCGTCATTCTAGGGATTAACACAGTTTCCCCTATATTGCTTCCTGTAAGTACAATTGCCTCAACAACATGATTCCCTAATTTTGTAATAAGCAATCTCGTGCCATTGCATAAACCTCTCGATTGATCAATATTTCTTAATAGCATTACTGGAACTTTAACTTTCAAGATTAATTTATTATCAGGAATCCCTGAGCATGATAATGTATTTAAGATCTCAGGGGTGATTTCATCATCCTCAACAGATGGTGATTTCTAAGTAAAAGAAGCAAGGAATTAATCATAAATGTGTGAAAATAAGCTCATAAATGCAAGAAATATTGATTATTCTATCTCAATCATTCTCTCACTCAATTTATGCATTTTGATAGCAGGAAACACAAAAAAGAAGTTAAAGAGAGAAGTTGAAATTGCATAGTCTAGTGCAAAACGCGCGAAAATTGCGCGATCTGCGTGATTTTGGCAAATTACTTTCTGTTTGTCCGCGCGATCCGCGCTGATTTGGCACTGATCGCGCAGGCGTCATGAATGCAGTCCTTGATTTGTGGAGTCGCGAATTTGGCTCTGACCGCGCGGGCGTCATGAATGCATTCCTTAATTTGTATAGAGTTTGATGAAAATGGAAATTTAATCAAATTAATGAGAGGATTATGACCTGATTGATTGGTGGAATTATGAGAAAAATGGAAATTTAATCAAATTAATGAGAGGATTATGACCTGATTGATTGGTGGAATTATGAGAAAAATGGAAATTTAATCAGAATTAATTAGAGGATTATGACCTGATTGATTGGTGGAATTATGACGAAAATGGAAATTTAATCAAAATTAATTCAAGGATTATGACCTGATTGTTAATTAGTAATCATTTTGATTTGGGTTTGAATATCTGATTAGTGTGGGTAACAGTGTAGGCCTAACCCATAGGCCCATGATGAGAAGGGGACTAGGGTTAATAAGTTTGGCTAGGTCCCTCTGCATTTACAATGTGTTAGAAAACCGTCACTACACAACTCGCCCCATCGACGGTTGTAATCAGGGATTGGTGTGAATTGCAGAGGAAGATCCTGGTCTTTCTATTGCAGGATCATCAGAGGAAACAAGAAGACTTCAAGAAATCACGAATGATGTATTCAAGAAGTAAGTCTGAATCTTTTAGTGTTCTAATTTCATATAATCCTATTTTGAAATTTCTTACCGCCACTCCATCAGACATCTCAATAGCATGCCTCACACATGCTCAGAAAAAGGACGGGGAGATCTCAACAGAGAACAAGAAAAGATACACACCAAATTTATTTATTTTTGAAAAAAAAAGAGAGAGGAAAGATCACAACATATAGAGAAAAAAAGGGTTCTTAATTGAAAAAAAAAAGGCCGTGGAACTGTTTTTTCGCTTCTCTTTTATGTTTGCCTATAAAAACTTGTTACTCCCTTTGCCTTCTTTATGCTTCACCCCTTTACATGTTCTCTCTTCCACCTTTACACACTCTTTAATTTTCATTCTCTACATTTCTACTAGCTTCTTTCACTTTCAGGTTAGCTTTAGAACCCCTTCTTCTCCCTGTCCCAATATGTATATAATTTTTTTTTTTTTTTTTTTGGAATTATCTATTCTGTCATGTGTCATCCCATGCATGCATCATGCTACTATCACTTGGTTTGGTAACATTTGTGTATCTTTGGATAGTGATATCAATCAATTGTGCTTACATGTAGCGGGCAGTGATAATGTGAATATCGTCTTTATTTTCGTGCAAGAGCTAGTTTATCTCATAGGAATTCACGCTTATATTGTTTATTTTCGTGCAAGAAAAAAATTTGAATTTCTTGATTGGTGTTTTGATAAAACTGCAATTTTTTGCCACAAAGCAAACACACACAGAGAGGGTGGAACACAAGTAGCAACATCCATGAGTAAGCACCCTGACCCCACTCCAATCCGTTTCTTCAAGATTATTCCTGGAACAAGTCTTCAAGAAGGAAAGCTGGTAAACGTCCTTTCCTTCATCTCCTTTTTCTCTCCGTGTATTTTCATTATTTTATTTTTTTGGATTTTTATTGTCAGGTACATTTGAATTTCTGTGTTATATATGCCTGTGAGTTTCATTATGCATGCTAACAGAAAGTTCTTTGCAGAGGATCCCAAAAAAATTCATTAGGAAATATGGTGGTGACATGTCAAACCCAATGTTTCTTAAGCCTCCAGATGGCACTAAATGGGAAGTATTTTGGACTGAAAATGATGGTGATATTTGGCTTCAAAGGGGTTGGATAGAATTTGCCACATATTACTCCCTGGATCATGGTCATTTGCTGTTGTTTGAATACAAGCAAACTTGTAATTTTGAGGTACACATATTTGACAAGAGTACCCTTGAAATAGATTATCCTTTGTATGTCCCTCAAGATGCACAGGACAACCTTGACCAGACTAGTGATGATGAGTCAATTAAAATTTTGGATGCGGTACCACCACGCCATAAGACTAGACAAAAATCACCAATGCCTTCTCCTCAACCACGTAAAAAATCAAGATCTGACACAAGTGGAGGTGTGGAGAGAAGATCCACTGAGCAAAATCTGCCTCATCATGCCCAAACTGAAGGCACAAACTTTGAGAAGTCTAAGTTTGCATCTGTAAAGAAAGAATCGGATGGTATGTTTCTCGTGATTGGATTATCCTTTTCATTTCATTTCATGTATTTCACGAATTACTCATACTTAACAAGAGTACCCTTGTAATAGGATTTCCTTTCCGTGGCACTCAATATGGGCAACCACCATGCCAGAACACTAGACTGAAATCACCAGTGGCTTGTCCTCAATCACGTAACAAATTGAAAACTAGCACAAGATCAGGTGATCGGTCTCAAGGGACAAACTTTGGTAAATCTAAAATGGCAGCTGTCAAGAAAGAATTGGATGGTATGTATTTCATGATCGGATTATCCTTTTATTTTAATGGATTCTTTTGAGTATTTGAGTTCAAATTTTCATAACTTTCACCCATGTTCAATTTTTTCAGAGGATGTGGATGGTACCTCCCCCAACACAAATGGAGCTCTGAAAGAAGCTGATAAATTTGCCTCAGAAAATCCCTTTTTCACAGTCAAAGTGAGGCCGGGAATTCAATCTAGACCGGTGAGGTTTAAGTTAAGAAGCAAATTAAACACATGTATCTGTATGGGAACTTTATTCCATATATGCATGCATCAAAAATGCAGTTATTGTTATACTCTCATTAAATATTAGGCTGTGATCTAATGGTGATGAAAATTTAACTTGATGCAGTCGTAAGAGAGTACTTCGATAACAAGACACAGATTGTGAAGTTACGGTGTGGAAAGAAAGTGTGGCCTATCAAGTTCCTATGTTATCCACACAACTCTGCCTCCTTTTTTTCTGGAGGTTGGTTCCAATTTGTAAAAGAATGTAAATTGGTAGTTGGAGATGTTTGTGTGTTTGAGCTCATCAACAGAGAAGATGCAGTGTTTGATGTTCACATTTTCAGACGCCACACTTAGACAATGTAATTGGAGTACTGTTACTCTAAAGATGTATCACTCATTTTATTGTAGTTAAGAAATCTTAGGACTTAGGAGGCTTTTCTACCGAAGCATATGATTACATTATGAGGAACAATATTCCCTTCATGTTATTTTTGGATAAATTTTAAAGTACGTTTTCTTAGCATTTAATATTTTTTGGATACAAAATTAAAAATAAAATAAAAATTAAAAAAAAAATCAAAAGTTGCGGGAAAGAAGTAGAAGGAAAGTCGGTTTTTTCACCCTTTTGCTCCTTATTAATTAATTAATAATCATTTTGCCCCTGATTCAAAACTATCTACCAATCTGCCCCTCTTTAATCGACTACCTTGCATTTTTAGTCGATTAAATGGTCAAAACAGGCAAAAATGGCTGTTGGGAGATTTAATCGACTAAATCTCTCTATTTAATCGACAAAATCTCACAACAGACAACAAAGGAAAACAAGTCAGTATTATTTTTTAATCGATTAAGTAGGGAGATTTAGTCGATTAAATCTCCCAACAACCATTTAGTCGATTAAAAATTCAAGTTAGTCGATTAAAGAGGGGCAGATTGGTAGATAATTTCAAATCAGGAGCAAAATGGTTATTAATTAATTAATGAGGTGCAAAATGGTCAAATAGCCAGGAAAGTCTGTGAGAGTGAAAATTGAATATTGGATGTGTTTTAAGATAACTTATGTAAGATACTCAGCTCTTATTATTGTATTAAAAAAAAGCAAAATATGGGACACAGAATAAAAGAAAAAAAGATATTTTCTGTTGAATTAATAATGTCTAAAATATTAGTTTAAAACTTGTATTTTTTTTTTTGGTAAACAAAACTTGTATTAAATATGTTGATGTCATATTTTTAAATCAAATTCTCTAAAAATAATTCCACAAGTCTTTGAAGAATTTATACCTTTACACATTGTAAATCTTCAATAATTTAAGATAAATTAAAAAAATATAAAAATTAAATGTAAAATAACGTGAATTGAAAATTAAAAAAATAAATTTTAATGTATATGCATGATTGGATGCACTGTACAATTTGAATATATGCATTAGTATTTTATCAAAATATTTATGTATTTTTTTTTAATTCCTTTACTTAATTTCATGGAATGTTTTTAGAATTTTAAATTATTAATTAGAATGGTGACTTTATTATATTTGTTAATATATTTTTAAGTCTGAAATTAATTAGTTGTTTGGAAAGTGATGAGGGAGCACATTTTTTTTTTTTTTGATACAAGTGAGAACTAAATACACAACCTAATGTGACATATCTAAACCCCTCATTATTAGATCAATTTTAGTAGCTTAGAGAGAACATTTTCTCTGCAAGGTGAGTAGGTATCCATATTCCCTTATCGAAAAAGGGGGGAAAATATTGGAAAAAAATAATCATAAAAATATGGATAGTGATGGGTTACTTTTTGCTATAGTTTTTAAATACCAACATTATAACTTTCTAAGAGTTATAAAATTAAAAATTTTGCCAAAATATGATTTGCTTTACCTCATTACTGCACTTAATTTTAGATATTTCTTCCTGATGTGATGAGCTATATAGAACCGACATTTTAAAAAATCTTAAGGGGCGTTTGGTATAGGAGAATTTTTTTTTACTAGAAAAAAAATTGCTCGAAATATGATGGTGAGACGAATTTTTTGCCGGGTAAGTTAAAAAAATGTATATGGTAGGCTAAATTTTTCCGAAAAATTTGAATGAATTTTACTGATGTTATGTGTAAAATTTTACCACCGCGAATGACTTTTTTTTTTCATTCCATCGTTGGCAAAATTCAGAGGATGATCCATGTGTAAAAAGATTAGATTGAAAAATTTCTTTTCCAGACCCCTTTTAACTCTTCCTCTTACCAAACATGGGCATGTATTTTTCTTACCCTATTTTCAGAGCCAATTTTTTTCCCCTCCTACCAAACACCCCCTAAGTGTCATGTCCAACATCCCAACTCTCCCCGATACTTTGACATGCTTGGAGAGCTCTAATGAAATGTACCGTTTAAAATTTCCTTGACTCATTAAAAAAAAACAGCTCTAATGGAATGTCAAGATCCAGAAAATAAAAAAGCTTCACTAAATGAAGAGTTATTCTATTCTTGAAATCAAATCACCCGAATATATATTCCTATATTCAAGTCTCGAATTTTAATTTGAAAATTACTCTTCTATTATTGTCAACCACGACAATAATTACAAAAATGCTTTTATTAAAGCCAAAAAAAATTAAAAAAAAATTCAAAACACACCTTCTAATCAAATAAATAAATACAATTCGAAATTGTGTGTAGACTACATAAATCTTTGTTACACTGATAATGACATGGGACACGAAAGAGACATGACGACAGGTTAATTTTAAAAAATATTAGATTTTCATATGTTAGGACGTGTTTTGATATTAAATAATATTTTTAATTATTGTATCGTATATTGTCTTTAATATTCATTAATTTAACAAAAAAATAAAACTAAACTTATTATACTCATCAATTTTGCCAAGAAACATAAGACGTAAATATTTACTATTATATTTTCAAATTGAAAATCTCTTATACACTCCAGTAAATTTATTCGGCATCCAATTTTTTTTAGAGGAAGGTTATACTTACAACCTATTTTTGTTTACAATCTTATTTTAACCGTTCATTTTCGCCAATCAACGGTTATTATTTTCACAAATCAAACTCATTAATTAATTATTAATTGACAATATATGACAACCGTTGATTTGACAAAAATCAACGGTTAAGATATAGTTGTAAACGAAGATAAATTATAAGTATAACCTTCCTTTCTTTTTTATTATATCAGATTGGTCGATCAATTTTTTCATAATACGTAATGAAATTTCAAATATTATAAATGTTGGAGCGTGTCAGAGTACTAGGGTGTCGGAAAGCGTCGGACACGACACTTCAGATTTTTTGAAGTGATGTCAAGACTTGATTTTGAAAATAGCCTTGAATAATGAAATTTACGATACTATCTTCACGATTCCATGTCCAACAAAATCACCAGCAAGGAAAAAATTGTTTCCCACTTTTTTAATTACTGATTTACTTATGTATCATTTTTTTTAAGTGTGAGACGACTCTTTTTTTTTTTGGATTACAAAGGAAATTAAAACAGAAACAGACTATAAAGCATCATAGCTGGGCGAAATTCCCCTACAATCCTCTAAAACAAGGTCTCTACACCCATCCAAAGGAGAAGTAAACCAATGAACATCCCAACTGTCATCAATCCTAAGTTTTGCTAGCCAATCCGCAATTCGATTGCCTTCTCTATACGTATGTATAATATTCACATGCCAATGAGCTTCCATCAAAACCTTGATTCTATTTACAAGAGAAAAGCAAGGGTGAGATTCAACACATCCTTCCTTAATCAGCTGAATGGCCACTAGAGAGTCCCCCTCCAACATAACATCCCTAATATTGTTGTTCCAAATCCACTCCAGACCAACCAAAATACCCCACAATTCAGCCATCAACACCGTACCAAAGCCTAGCTTTTTTTAGAAGCCAAGGATCCACTTACCATCACCATCTCTAATAACTCCACCACAAGCTAGGTTATTGCCATTATCTTTGCAAGAACCATCCACATTAATCTTTAACCATCCTTTTGGAGGAGGTTTCCAATTAACCCAAATTTCCCTAACTGGTTCCAGGTTTAAGCCCGCAACCATCAGCATCACATTTGCAGATCTAATCTGCATAATATGGGCAGCAACCTGTTGAAAGAATTCATGAGGAGAAAGGCTAATACCTTCAAAAATGAGCTTGTTCCTATCCTTCCACATATACCAGCAAATCACACCAAAGCTAAGGATCCAATCAGCATTACGAGTTCTGGGATTAAGATTGATATTCATCCAGTTATCAAAGTTAACTCTACAGAATTGGGAGTTCTCATTGAAATTTACCCAATGGCTCCAAACCTCCCTAGCCCAATCACAATTTCTGAATAAATGGTCCCTGTCTTCTAGCACATGTTGACATCTTGGACACCGAGCATTATCTGACATGTGTCTTCTCACCCGTTCAGCATTAGAAAGGATTTTATTGCCATATAGCAACCATAAGAAGACTTTGATTCTCTGAGGCCCCTCCCATCTCCAAATAAGGTTCCAGTCCTCAAACTCAAGGTTGCTCTGAACAGTACACAAAGAATCATAGGCTGAGCTAATAGTGAACAAACCAGAAGATGAGTGGTTCCATATAATCTTATCCCTGCCATCAGTGGACTTTGGAACAGGCATATCAGCTATAACAGGTAATATCTCATCCGGAAGAGACTGCTCCAAAAGCTCCCAGTTCCAACCTCCCTCCTCCAAGATATAATCAGCCACCTTCCAATTGGACACCTCTCTAGGAATATCAGCCTGCACCATATCAATTAACTTGCCATAACCAGGAATCCAAGTGTCCTTCCAAAAATCTGTGTTCCATCCATCCCCTAAGATGATCCTAGAATCAGCCTGAACCTGTCCCCAAACTTGTTGTATTCCTTTCCATGTATTAGAAGCATTTCTACAAATGGCAATATTAGGAATCATGCCTTTCTCAACTTTATACTTGGACTTCAAAATTCGAACCCATAGGTCTCCAGGTTTGCTCATAAGTCCGAAGCCTAGCTTCAGTGAAAAAGCCTTATTTATTTTAACTTGATCCCTAAGACCCAATCCCCCTCTCTTCTTGGGCTGACACACTTTGGACCAACTGACCAAATGAGGCTTTCTTTGATTTTGGCTGGATCCCCATAAAAAACTCCTTGTTAGTTTCTCTACTTCTTTACAAACATTGTTAGGAATGTTAACAGATTGCATAGTATATGTAGGGAGGGCTTCCAAAACTGCCTTAGCCAGGGTAGATCTGCTAGCAAGAGATAATGAACTTTGATTCCAGGAAGACAATCTCTTGTGAACTCTATCTAGCACATGTGTGAATGCATTTTTTGTCACTCTCCTATGCTGTAATGGAATCCCCAAATAACTCCCCAAATCAGATGTGATAGAAAAACCCAGGCAATCACTGATCTCTTTAGCCTTATTGAAACAAACATTCTTCGAAAA